GAGAGAGAGAGAGAGAGAGAGAGAGAGAGAGAGAGAGAGAGAGAAAATAAACTACCCACACTCACCTGTGTGCCAAATATAATTAAATAACACATAGGTGCTTGCCACAAAAAAGAGCCAGTGCAACGGCACAAAGATTAAACAAAAGATGTCCAGTGTGAAGGCAGCACAAACAAAAACAACACAAATAACCTGAAAACAAACCAGAAAGACAAAAAGTCATTTTAGTTAAATGCATAAAAACGTTTCATTTTAAACACAGGAGGAGAGGCGAGGGGAGGGATTGTGCTGTTTGTTACAGCTGCACAGCACAGACTGGGTTTTCATTATCGGGTATACTGCACAGAATATGAAAGCACACAGCAGGAGTCCTCACCAGCCCGTGGCAATGGAAAGTGGTGTACACGCTCCCAAAGAAGAGCCAGCACGGCCATAAATACTCCAGTCTGAACTCAAGGATGAAATCTGCCAGGAGCACCACCGTCCACATCACCATAAACTTCAGGAAGGTGTACGCACTGTGGAAAGATGTGCAACATTTCAAACAAATGAATTTTAAAAACCATCACTGTGGCTAAATCTATCTGCAAGTGCATGAATTCCTGTAGGACAGATTGAAAACTTCCTAATTTTTTTCCCCTGCTTTTAGTAAATATACAGCTAAGCTTCAGTCTGAGCAGTTATTATAAAAAGAAACAGCTAAAGACAAAACAGGAAATGCAGATGTTGAACCTGCAGCTTAGCATTAAAAACTGACGGTCTGTAAGACGGAACAAAGAACAACCGTCCCCACGTTGGTTTTAATAGGCAGCATCAGCCCAACACGAGCTGTGGTTTCCTCCTTTGTTCTGCTCATCTGTGCACCGCCATCACATCACATCACCCTGTCTTTGTTTGGTTACCATGGCAATATTTCATCTGGAGGAGAGAGGGAGCACCACAGCATCCTCCTGCTAGTCCAAATAAACCTCTCACTTCCAAATCCAAAATTATGTCAACATTTAATCTGGAGGGGGATGAAAACGACTGAAAACTCTCTTTAATTATTCTAAGGTTTTATTTTACACTGAATGTTTAATTTTTCAAAGTATACTATTTAGATAAAGAGCAACAATGAAGACAAAGGGGAACCTATACTCCTCATAAAAGTTCAAAGATGCCATTTATACAGGATGAAGTAATCATTTTTCACTTTTAAGTTTCATGCACGTACTCCTATTTTACCATAATATTTGTCAAATATCGTCATTGTTTATTAGTTCAGACAAAATATTATTCTTTCAAGAATATTAAGCATACATTTTTTGTCCATTTCATCAATAAAATGTATATTAATCCACACAAAAAGAGCACATAGCTCCACTTCAAATTCAAAACAAGACATTTTGAGCAACGACAGTGTCAACGTTAAAATAAAAATGTTGCTTAAATGTAAAAAGTGTGGAAATGAAGCCTATTATTAAAGGTAAAAACGAGCAGGGTAGTTTAAACGCAGGAGCCTAAAGGCCGACGTTAACTTGCACAAATACTGCCTTTTCCCTGTAAACAATGTCGGCTACAGTAAGTTAGCTTTTTATTCAAACCGCTCGCGCCTGCTTAGTTAGGCTAATGTGCGGGGGGGAAGCTCCAGACTGGGGGTGGTTTCAGAATGTGAGACACGGGGTGTGGAAAAGGGACGGGAGGCAGACAGGTGAGCGGGATGACGACGGCTGAAAAATTTACACAAAGACCACAACAAAAGCAGCAGCAGCAGCCGGGCGACGCGGCTCGAGCGCAGCAGCAGCTAACCTTTCCGACAGCTTCTCCGTGATTTTTAGTTTTTTCATCTTCCGAAGCCTGTTCGCGTCCACATAACGTTTCTTCATCGTATGGCTTCTTCTCTCTCCTTGCCGATGCCTCTTCTTCTTTTTTTTTTTTTTTTTACACCGCGGCGGCAGCGGCAGTGACGAGGAGGGCAGAAATAACACAACACCGATTGCTTGTTCTCTTCCCCTCCTCCTTGTGGCCGAAGCGAAGCGGCGCGCGAGCTCCGAGATGCGAAAACGATGAGCGTCTCATCGGGTCTGCGCATGCGCACTGCAGGAGACGCGTCTACAAGTGTTCATCACAGGAGGGCAGCAGATCAACACAATGAACAGAGAAGAATTTATAAATAGTTGTCGAAATACACAGATTTTTCCGTTTTTGATTTGAAGTTTTATACTTTTCTAGCTATATCATTAATGGATTCTTTGGGGTTTAATGTAACTCAAACCCATCAGGGATTTTGTGAAAATTGCATTATTACAGCAATTATTCCTTGCTTACACCTAAATTCAGCTTATGATCATTACGAACATTACTTCTTTAAAATTTGTAATATCTGGGCACAGCTCATTTGCCTATGATCTTAGCTCCAAGATTAGCTTTGATGCGTCATATGGTTCTTCCACATGCTAATGAGACCCATCTATGCTTTTCCTTTCTGGTTGCAGGTGTCATTGGTCCCTATGACCAGCAGCCACTATGTGTTAAATGCATACATTGCTACATTAATCACAGATGTGTCCAACCCTTACAATTTTAAACAAGCAATGCTTCTTAATGCTTTTCTTTCTGAATAATATTCACAAATTTTTCATCTAAGGCTGAATCCAAGGAGCACCTGAATCATATTTGTGTTCAGTATTCACTGAGATGTGCTGATTTTTGTCAACTCTGTCCTCTGGTCCCCACAGAGCTGGAATCAGGGGGTGAAGCCAGCACTCAGATGGGCCAAAACCTGCTCCATGAATTGTAGCCCTGCCAGCTCCTGAGAGGTCAGTAAGGTCCACACACACCGCCTCACTCAGTCAGATCATTCTGTCAGATGAAAAATGCTTTAAGATCTGTCAGCATAAATGAATGTAACGATGCAACAAAAAGACTTTAAAATCCAATGAGCAAAACTGTGGACATTTTTTTTCATCTTTCTGCATCACTTAGTGGTCATTAAATAATAATTCAGATCTATGCCCTCTTCCTGGCATTTCAGGGATATCATCGTGTGTAAGTCGTTGCTTTTGTGTTGAATATTTCATGGTCTGGCCTACATCGCAGGGAAAACCACCAGCTGTCTCGGCCTTACAAGTCAGGACTCCTGCTCTGATTACCCTAACAACAAACTGTGCAGTAAGACAAGAATGAGAATATTAATCAAAGCAAAAACCACAGGCTTCAACTTGTGCCGAATAAGCTGTTAGTTTATGCTTCAGAAGACCAAAGAGGCCAAACTGAAGCGAGAACAGCTCATCTATGTTTCATCTTGTTTGGTTCGGCAGGAAGACGCTGAATCACACGCAGGAAAATGTCAGGAATGACTGAAAGATTAGCATTTTCAACATGTTGATGCTGAGCAAAGCAAAAAAAAAAAAAAAAAACAATATTTAACACTCCAAAAGGCAAAATCTAAAACAGTTAATGTTGCTATAAATAAAAACAGCATAATTTATGAAAATATTCTAAAATTGTGGAAAGTGCGCAGATTCTTGGACTCAGTTTGTTTCCATTTTATAAACCAGATTTACTGCAGAAACTAGTTTTGTGTTGCTCTTTATGCTGCAAATACAGTGTTTTTAAAGTGACAGTTCAAATCTTTCGAAATTAGGTTTTATGGAAGGCTTACAAACAATTATTATCTTACCTGCTGGGGCTGCAGTGGATCAGTGTTTAGTGCTGTGGTCTTGTTGGAGTTCCAGTTGTGCTGGTTTCTTGTTTTAGTTTTATTAGCCTTTTCTTTATTATAATTGTTTTTTTTTTCATTTATTTTGTTACTAGAATTCTTTTTGTTTGTGAAGTACTTTGGTCAACATTCTTGTTTTTAAATGTGCTACATAAATACAATTGACGTGCAGTATAATGCTGAGGCCGCAGGTTTGAGCCCAGGTTGCAACCCCAAGGGAGCAGCTGAAAGTAACAACAACAACAACAACATCCTACCTGTCATAGATCTTCAAACAGCCTTGATCTTGAAAAAAAAACTAACAAATAAATAATAATAATTCTGACCAATTAACAAGCTAGGTCAACCAGTACGTCCTGAAACAACTCAAACCTCTGAAAATTTATAGTAATCCATGTGAACTTTAATTCTAACCATTAAATCAGTCAGTTTTGAAATAAATGTATGTTGTTGTTGTTGTTGTTGTTTGCAACTTTATAGCAGCGGTGGGAGTTAGCTCTAGCGCTTTAAGTGCATCCTGCATGTATAGAAAAAGTGTAATATTTTTGCCAAAAATAACTGAGTAATAGATACAAAATAGATAATGGTGTTAAGTTTTATAAAACAATATTTACATAAACAGCTAAGAATTTTTGGTCCTGCTCATATTAGTTGTTAGCTTGTGGATCTGGTCAAACTTTAACTTGTTCAAAGAGCCATCTACATCATGTAAGACATTCCTACCTTATGTGACTAGAAAAGAACTTAATTTTCTTTTTTTCACGTTTGACGTTATTTGTTATCTTTCACAAGGGGGTGCTGTGGCACCCTTATCTCCTCCAGTCACGGCCTTGTCTGTTCAAAATTTTCTCACAGAAATGCAGTCCAAAAGCTAAACTAAACTATCTAAAGTATTCCTTTCATGTGAATTTGTGAATTAATATGAATTTATCAGTATTTTCCTTGTCTCTACATTGATCAGAACAGTAACAGTCCTGAACTGAAGCAACAGAAAGACTGATGTGGCCACCGCCTGCAGATCTACCACTCAGATTATCCAAATGTCAAACATCCCTGTGTGCTTTGACTTGTTTTCTATAGACACTCGTCTCTAAAGCCTTCGTGTCGTCACTTCTCTGCACCGCTCCAGTACCTCTGGCTGTTTGACCCATTCAGTAATTAGCAGAGGTTAAAGAGGAAATGAGTTCTGGTGCTCCAACTCTCTGGACAAACACACGGCCCACAGGGGTCGACTGCCCTTCAACCGTTAGCGAGGTGTAAACTCACGGAGAGGAAGGAGAACAGCTCTGACAGGGAGGGTTTGGCAGGAGTGAGGAGGACGAGGAAACAAAAATCCCCAAGCTGTGCCAAGAACGATTCACAGTTTGAGACCAAATCTGCTGCCATGCACTCGAAACATGCAGCCATATTAATCATGTGTCTAATATCTTCATAAAATAAAGTCTGTTGTAATATATGTTCAGATTTAAAATAGGTAGAATTTACCTCCTTTTCATTCACGTAAATACGCTGGATTATTTTAAGAACGGGAGTCTTTATTTTGTGCTCAGATAAAACAGGTTATAAAGACAAAATCTGCATTTCCTAAAGCTAAAGCACCAGCTAAAAGCTACATAGCAAAACTTACCTAAAAGTTATAAACAGCAAAAAAGTTGCTAAAACTTATAATTTGTAAAATGGTAGCTAAAAGCTCAAACTATTAGAATGATAGCTAAAAGTAAAGTTTAAAAAAACTAAACGTAGATACATAGCAAATTTAGCAAAACAGTAAATAAAAGCTAAAACTGACAGAACAGTAGTAAACAATTTGAATTATTAAAACAGATAAAATTACCTACAAATAACCAAAAAAGTATCTAAAAGCTTAAAATAGCTAAATGAAAGCTAAAAGTAGCCAAATAATAGCTAATATAAAAATGACCAAATAATACTTAAAAATCTTATTTAACAAAACAGCAGCTAAAATTTAAAATTAGCAAACCAGTAACTAAATGCTAAAATTAGCAAAACAGTAGCTACGTAAATCCTAAAACTAGCAGAATAGCTAAAAGCTTAAATTGAAGCAAGTAGATTTATAATTTACAACATTTGTCAAGAACAATGTCAATGTCAATGTCATAGCACATAAAAACAACAAAAGTCGACCAAAGTGCTTCACAATTCAGCCAAAATAATAAAACAACAAAGCAACACAGAAATGTAAACAATAAGTCCGTCCGTCTGTTTTCTGCTGCTTATCCGGGGGGTCGGGTTGCGGGGGCAGCAGCTTAAGCAGAGCGACCCAGACTTCCCTCTCCCCAGCCACTTGGACCAGCTCATCCGGGAGAATCCCAAGGTGTTCCCAGGCCAGTCGAGAAACATAGTCCCTCCAGTGTGTCCTGGGTCTTCCTCTGGGCCTCCTCCCAGTGGGACGTGCCCGGAACACCTCACCAGGGAGGCGTCCAGGAGGCATCCTAACCAGATGAACCACCTCAACTGGCTCCTCTCGACGTGGAGGAGCAGCAGCTCTACTCTGAGTCCCTCTTGGATGACTGAGCTTCTCACTCAATCTCTAAGGGAGAGCCCAGACACCCTGCAGAGGAAACTCATTTCGGCCGCTTGTATCCACGAAGTGCTCTAACTAAAGTGTGGATGTTATGAGATCACACAGGTAAGATGGGGCCAGACCAAGCAATAAAATCTTAAAATTTATCCTAAAATGAACAGGAAGCCAATGGAGAGAAGCCAAAACCGGGGATATGTGTTCGTGTTTTTTAGTTCCTGTTAAAAGACGAGCTGCTGCGTTCTGGACAACTTGTAATCGATGCAGAGAAGATTTATCTAAACCAACATACAAAGAATTACAATAATCCAAACGAGATGTAAAGAGAGCACGAATCACTTTTTCAAGGTCTTTGATTGGGAGATATAGCTTCACCTTAGCAATAAGGCTTAGTTGGAAAAAAAACTTGATTTCACCACTGAGTTTATCTGTTTGTCCAACTTGAAAGCATTATCAAAAATGAAACCCAAATTTCTGACAGCAGAACAATTAACTAAACTTATGGTTAACATAGCTGAAAATATGCTGAAATTAGTCAGAAAAACTGCAAGACAGACACACAATTACATTATTATCCAACTTTTATGATGAAGGTTAATAATAAACATTAATTAATTAACAAATGTCTGTTAATTTACACCCCCGTCAATTAATGGAGAATCGTTTTATTAAAACGATTCCCACAGAAAACTGATGTTGTGGTTAACTGTGGCCGAATCTGCCCTCCAGGACCAGCAGGCCGACCCACTTTCTTTCAGCTTTTATTAAATCCGCCCATTTCGACAAAAGAGACGTCTTTCTTTCCATCATTTGAAGCTGAGACAGCAGGCCTCTCTTCAGGAGTCGGCACACGTTCTGGCAGCGCTGCAGGATCCTGCTTCTGTAGTTCTGTGTGAAACAGCCTGCCAGGTTGAACCTGATCCTGAGAGGATCTTTTTCGGCTCTCTTTCAGGCTCTTCGGTTTCCACTCTGACTGCTTGTTTTGATTTGGGCTCTTAAAGTAATCTACAATAACGTCAACATTTGCCTTCCTATTGCCACGTGGTCGACCGCACTGCCATTGTGTTGAAATTAGCGGCCCTTCCAGGCGCTAACAGACCTCTTCCATTTAAAATAAACACTCCACTTGAATTTCTCTAACAGCATATGCTTGCCAAAAAAACAAAACAAAACCAAAAAAACTGGTTTCTCCGATTATTACAGCATCGAGGAGACAAACAGGAGCAAAGGCCTCAACAGCACCTGAAGTGAGCACATGGAGGAGTCAGAGGGAGCGAAGGGGAGATAAGACGTTTTTCTTCTCCTAGTGGGTCCAGTGGGTCCAGTGATAGCAGAGGTCCTCTGGTTTGGCCCGGCTCGATAAGACTGGTCTTGCCATCCTGTGGGGCTTATCAGCTGCTGCAGTGAGTCTCAACAGTTAGTCCCAGAGACAGAAAATGTTTACGCGTTTGGCGTCTGTTTGGCGACTTCAACTGTATTTGGATGTAAAACGAGAAAAAAAACTGTTATAGATTTTAACTTTCTAGATTGCATCGCTAAAACTCAGTTAAATCAATAAGAAAATTTACATTTTATGCAAGGAAAAAAAAACAATGTGAATGTTGAGTGCCGAAAACTGAAAGTAGCAAAACACCAGCTAAAAACTAAAAAAGTAGCTAATGGCAGCAACATGTTCACCAAAACCTAACCTCAAGAAGTGAGCTAAAGTAGCAACAGACTAGCTAAAAGATAAAACTAACCAAAGGGCAGTTTAATAAATTGGCTGTTTCAAAATAAAGCCTGAACAAAAGAACAGTCGAGGAAAAATAAAAGAAGAAAATAAGCTGGCGGAAGCAGAAAAACAGGCATTTTTACAGACAGGAAGTCGAACAGAGATTAGTTACATCACTGAGTCCAGACTGAAGACAGTTCATTTAGTCTCTGCTGTTATCTCCCATCATCAACAGTCTCTTTGGATCAGAAACAGGATGCAGACAAAACTAGAGCTTCATCTGTCTGAAACCGACAGAAGACATCAGGCCTTAATGCGGAAAAGTTTATTTATTTTTCCTTATTTCAGCTGATTCAAATTAAATGCTCAATAAGAGAAATTAACTTCTACAAATTTTCACTGGAAAAAAACAAATTGAAAAGCTTTTTTGTATCAATATTACCATAAATATTTTTATTTTTGTTAATAAAAAGGACATTTTTTGCACAGTCTTTGAAAAGGAGCACTAATTTAAGCACTTACATTTAACAAAAATATTCTGGGATCAGATGACAATAAAAGACAATAAAGTTCACATCTTTTAATGACCTATTAGAAATGCATTATGTGAAGACACAAACCAGTAATTTAATGGTAATCTAATACTGGAGTGGTGCCAAGACCAGAATAGATTGTTGTTATTTTTATGTTTTGCTATGAAATATTAATATACTGGAGTTGTTTTAAAATGGCAATGCTCCACTTTGGTCTCGGTCTGGCACAAACCAATCTAGTTTTTTGTCGTTTTTTTAAATATCCTTGCTAATATAGCTCAGTTTCAAGAAATGTCTTCATCCACACAAAAACAGAAAACAGCCTAAAACAATGCAGTAAGTATTCCAGGCCTGTAGGTGGTGCTGCAGTAAAAAATACATCAAAAACAGGAAACAAGGCAAAGCTAAAGTGCAAGACATTAAATGTGTTGGTGTTACGCACAAAACACAAGGGTCGCTTTCCACAATTTTTTGTACTCAGGAACACAAAACACAACCCATTAAGCTTGCTTAAATTTCTCAAAAACTGAGGTTTAAAGATAAATTTTTAGAATCCAGTGTCATCAAATATAAACTTTGAGGAAGCTAATATAAAATTTAAACTGATTCAGGGAAACTAAAAACAAAAAGGACAAATTAAGATAAGAGAAACAGCCAAGATAAACCTATGATATAACAGCTCGTAGAGGGAAAACATATGAGCAAAAGCACACACTGGGGTAATAGGAAAAGGTTAGAACAGTCAGATCTGAGCTGTAAAGCTTACAAAGACAAGCAGACTGTTGAAAAGGGTGAAAATCCCAGATAAACCAAACAGAATTAAAGATTCAACAAAACCAAACACTGTGACAGAAAGTTGCAGCTGCTACCCCGTCTTTCCAGCAGACTTTTTATTTATTTTCCACTGATTGTGCTGTTCTGCACTTTGAAGCATCACCTGTACGACGTGAGCTTCAGGAACAATCAGAGAGTTCTCTGAGTGCTCTAGTGGCACCATTTCCTTCCTTTCATTGAACGCTTTTAGGTCCAGCACAACAAAGCTTGCTAACACGCCACTCAGCTTGCGTCTTGAGCTTTCAACACACACAAAAAACAAAAAGAGAATAACTGAAACGCAGTCCCATAAAAACAAGAGATCCCCTCTGCCGCATGCCAGAACTCTGAAAGATTTTCATAGATAGAGGCTTTAAGGAAAAGGGAACAGAGCACGACAAAGTTTTCATTTCTAATCTAACTGTTGTAGCTGGTCTTACAGTAAACCCATACTTCCCCATATTGTCCTGAGAAGTTTCTAACTTATGGATTAGGCAGACATCATGGGGCCGTTTTGTGCCCAGTATTCCTAAAATGCCAGTTTGTGTGACGGTAGCTGTTGTTTTAGGAGTTCAACCACTGGCCAAAGACCCAACTCTCCCAACTCTCAAGGCTGGTTCACGTCAATCACTGGCAGGCGGGTGTTTTTCTTTTCGAAACCATTGCCTGTTTGATAGCTGTGCTTATTCAGAAGACCTCAAACAAATGAACATTAAATAAACATTCAGAGACGGGCTCTGAATGGGCAGCAGAGGAAATGTTTAAAAGGGTGTGGATCCCAATCACAGAAAGCTTTCACACACAGCCGCCTCTGTGAGAAACAACAGAAATTTCCTTGAATGGGAAGCAACATGTTTGCAAAAATAAGAAAGAAATCCACTTACAAGAACCCAGCAGTAACTGTGTACCATGGAGTTTAAATACCATGAGGTGGATGATTGGTGAATGAGAACAGCTGTGTTAATGAGCAGACAAACAGGTGCTGAGTGTCAGAGTGTACAGGGCAAACTAGATTACAATGAAAGGTAACTTCTCTATCTTCAATCTGATCCTGAAGAGAAACCAAGTAATCAGCGACCCTTTTCAGCTCCTACTTGTAAGGTTCTAGCAGGAACGAAGCCCAGGGCGCAGGCAGGCTCAAAAATATAACAAAAATTTATTTTTAAATAACAAAAGGAGGGCTGAGAAACACAGGGGAACACTGAAAACACTAGAAAACTAAGGAAAATAAACACAGACCATGACACTACTGGGGCATCTTGTGGGGGTCATACCTATGTTCCCTGGTACTCATGTACCCTGGTACTTATGTTTCCCAGTATCTATGTTCCCTGGTACCTATGTTCCTCTGTACTTATGTTCCACTTATTTTCCCTCATACTTGTGTTGACCAATATGTTCCCTGGTTGTTACCAGATAATGCACTTAAGTACCCCAGTACCTCTGTATGTACCCCAGTATACAGTGGGGAGATCAAGTGTTTGATACACTGTTGATTTTTCAGGTTTTCCCACTTGCAAAGCTTGTAGA